CCTTCGTGAGCTTTAAATATATATATATATATTCGGCCTTACAAGAGCCCATTGGGGGAGCTCATGATTACACCCCTTCTGAAGATGAGGAAATAGAGGCTCATGTTGGTCTCATGACAAATCAAGATCATACATATAGCAGGTGGCAGGCATGGGGAAGGCTCTTACCATATTTTTACTATATCATACAGTAATATTTCAGCCAATTCTTTACGAGAGTGGTTCTATAGTTTGGGTAAGCATAAGTATCACCTGGAGGGCTGATTAACCCATTTCCTGTTTGCCTCTAGAATACTCACCAGCGGCGCTTGTGGCTGCAGCGTTTACCCCGAGATAACTTGCAGGTTACTTAAACCATACCCCCAAAGTTTGCCACGAAATATCTTCCTTTTATTATTATTTTTACATCACTCTAGTATATCAATAGTCTTTGGAAACAAATGACATCATTCTATAATAGCATTCTGTTTTTAGTAGTGGTATTTTCATGTATAAAATTTAGTAATTCTTGATTGCTGAAAATGTCAAGTCCTAGAAAATGTAGCCAAAGATTCATTTGATGAATCGATTTATGTATACATTTCTGTTACATTAGGATTAGAGACAAGTTCTGTTTATAAATAATTCCAAGAACAGTTTTTATATTTTATTTTCACATAGAAAACCAGTCAGATATGCTTCAGCCTCAAAAAGCGTGTTTATGTAAAATTAAATTAACGCTGGCAGTGAGCTGCACTTTTTTTGCTAAACTGGAAATGGGTTAAAACACAGACTGCTGGGCCCCACCCTCAGAGTTTCTGAATCAGCAAGTCTAGGGTAGGTCTGAAAATTTATATCTCTAAAAAGCTCCCAGATGATGCTGATGCTACGTGTCTGAGGCCACACTTTGAGAACCACTGCTTTCAGAAATCAGTTCATCAGCGATGAGCAAGAAATACAGTCAGCATGCACTTTCTGGTTCACCCGCCCTGTTTCATCATTTTATTTTATTTTTCACTTTTTTAGGCAAGACAACCTTTGGTTGACCTCACAGATTGCAAGGACCTTGTCAGCTTACAATCCCTTATTTTTTATTTTTTACACCTACAGCACCTGGTCTTCCTAGGTGGTCTCCCATCCAAGTACTAACCAGGCCCAACCCTGCTTAGCTTCCGAAATCAGACGGGATTGGGCTTGTTCAGGGTAGCATGACTGTAGCCTGTTTCATCATTTTAAAATATACTTTTCAAAAAGACTTATTTCTACCAAGCAGCTTTCATTTGATGACTTTTTGCCCTTGCATTCCACTTTCCTTCCTCCTCTACCCCTGTGGTGGAAAAAGCACCGAAACATGAGACCCAAGATCTAGTATCTAGTCTGGCTCCACCACTTCCTAACCAATGATGTCCTTGGGGACAATTACTCATCAGTAAAGCGAGGATATTTGACTTTTGCCCTGCCAATCCCACAGTGAGATGATGTGTGTGAGCATAGTTGACAGGTCACATGGCCTCAACAGAATTTGTGTCCCATGATATATATCTGGAGGAGTTTGCTCTCCTTACTTATATCTTTTGACAGTTGTATCAGCAGTGGTTCTCAAAGTGTAGTCTCCAAACTAGTCACATCAGCATTGCCTGGGAGCTTATTAGAAATGTCAACTCTCCAGTCCCACCCCAGACCTAGTAAATCAGAAACTGAGAGAAGGACCCAAAAATCTGTCTCAACAAGCCCTCCAAGTGATTTTGATGCACACTCAAGTTTGAGAACTCTGGTTTTATGATGATGAGCACAAAATTCAGAGCTGTGTACAAATCCCAGCTCAGCTACCTCTTTGAGCCTCATTTTCTTGATCTGAGAAATGGAGCTAAGAATAGCATCTTCCCTTCATAGATTTGATTGAGAAGCTTAAGAGATTGTATGTATATAAAGCACAAAGGGACCTGGCACACTGTAAGCAATCAGTACACATTTAGCTCTTATCGTTTTTGGGGTAAACTACTGTGGCTTCTTAACAATATGCCACAGTGCCTACTTTTTGAAGAATTGTTGATTGTTTTTTTAGCCTGTTGGGAAGTTTTCCATTTATTATGTGTGTATGTATGTGTGTAAGTGTGTGTCGTGTGTGTGTTTTGTTAATGTTATTGTTGTTTGCTGCTGGTAGATATTTGCTTTATTTAATGAAGATTCCTTGGTCTTGCCACTCTCTTCTGAATAAGAAAGGTATTTCTCTGTGTATCATTACTAACATCTTCTTAAGTAACATTCCTAATCAGGATTCTTTACATTTGCATAGCACTGTATACTTTTCTCAGTTGTACCCACACATAATGCAGCCTCAGGATTTCTAGTCTTTTTACTGCCTTCCTCAGAAACCTTCTCTCCTTATTCCATAAGCTTCTAAAGATCGTCTTTTCTGAAAACCATGCTGCTTCATTTGGCTGATTCCCTTCCTTCCTTAAATTTCTATTCAGAAGTATTTTCAAGTAGATACTTTTAAAAACAAATAAACATCAGAAATAAACTCTCACATATATAGTCAATTGATTTTTGACAAAGGTGCCAAGACCATTCAATGGGGAAATGACAGTGTTTTCAACAAATAGTGCTAGGAAAAATGGATATCTGCATACAAAAGAATGAAGTAAAAGTTGAAAACCACATGATATCACTTATATGTGGGATATAAATCTAAAAGAAACAAACAAACACGACAGAGACTCATGGACATGGACAGTAGACTAGTGGTTACCAGAGGGTAGGGGAGAAGGGGGAGGTAGGTGGTGTAAAAGGGGTCAAATATGTGGTGACAGAAAGATCTCTAGCTATGTGCAGTGAACATACAATGCAATGTTTATATGACTTACTGTTAAATTGTACACTTGAAACTTAGTGGATTTCATTAACCAGTGTCACCATAATAAAAATAAATAAATAGATAGATAGATAGATAAAATTTTTAAAAAGGATGAAATTGGACCCTTACCTTATACCATATACAAGAATGAACTCAAAACAGATCAAAGGATCTAAATATAAGAGCTAAAACTATAAAACTCTCAGAAGAAAACATGACATTAGATTTACCAATGATATCTTAGATATGACAGCAAAAGCACAGGTAACAGAGTAAACATAGATAAATTGAGCCTCATCAAAATTAAAAACTTTTGTGCAACAAAGGACACTATTAAGAGACTGAAAAGGCAACCCACAGAATGGGAGAAAATATTTGCAAATCATATTATCTAGTAAAAGATTAATATCCAGAATATGTAAAGAACTCCTAAAACTCAACAACAGAAAAAACCCCAAACAACCCAATTCAAAAATGGGCCAAAAATATGAATAGACAGTTCTCCAAAGAAGGTATACAAATGGCTAATAAGCACACCATCACTAATCATTAAGGAAATGCAAGTTGAAACCACGAGATACCATTTCATACCCATTATCAAAACAGCAGGAAATAACAAATGTTGGTGAGGATATAGAGCAACTGGAATCCTTGTGCTTTGCTGGTAGGAATGTAAAATGGTGCAGCCGCTGAGGAAAACAGTTTGGCAGATCCTCAAAAAATGAAACAGAACTACTATATGACTCAATAACTCCACTCCCAGGTATATGTACCCCAAAGAATTGAAAGCAGGGACTCAAACAGATACTTGCATACCAGTGTTCATAGAATTATTTACAATGGCCAAAAGGTGGCAATAACCCAAATGTCCGTCAACAATGAATGGATAAACAAAATGTAGAGTATTATTCAGCCTTAAAAATGAATGAACCATCTCACACCTGTTAGAATAGCTATAATCAACAGGACAAGTAGTAACAGATGTTGGAGAGGATGCGGAGAAAAAGGAACCCTCATACACTGCTGGGACTGCAAATGGGTACAGCCACTATGGAAAACAGTATGGAGTTTACTAAAAAAAACTGAGAATTGGTCTACCATATGATCCAGCAATCCCTCTACTGGGTATTTACCCCAAAGACTTGAAAACCCATATCCAAAAAGATATTTGCACACC